CCCGCGTCCGGTCCCCTGGCTTGCGTGGGTGCTGCCTGGCACCCTGTCCAGCTCCCCTGCTCACCAGCTCGGGCTTGCTGCCTTGGTGGTCCGATGCCACCTGTGCTGCCCCCCAGCGTTTCACCTATTTGAATGGAATTTTCAAGCGTGAATAGTTCACCAGGCAGAAAAGAAGGCAGAGGGGGCCCCTGCAGAGGGGCCGGCGGGTGCAGAGGCCGGGACAAGGCGACTGGGGTGGGTTGGGAAGGGGCGGGTGTGTGTGTGTGTGTGTGTGTGTGTGTGTGTGTGTGTGTGTCTCTCGGCGGGGCGGGGGAGATGAGGCTGGGGGAGTCAGCAGCGGCCAGCCCCACCTGGGGGCCTCCATCCTGAGCAGTGACTCCTGGATGAGCAAAGGGCCACGCCCTATGCCCAGGACAACTCTGGGGTCCAGGGAGGGCGAGGCGCTCCAGGACAGTGGCCCGTCATAGGCACCCTCGCCGCAGTCACTTCTGGAGCGCTCACTCACCCTGCTCCGCAGCTCAGGGCAGCCTCCTGGAGTGGCTGCCTTCTCTCTTATTTTGCAGATGAGAGAAAAAGACAGGATCTTCCCACCAACTGGTTAACAGGTGGGAAGCAACTCAGGGAGGCATCTGGCCCCCTGTGCTCGGTCTCCCGGTCCCGCTACTGCCCCCACCCCCGCCCTGCCCCGCACCATGCCTGCATCTGACCTGTGATTTGCGAGTGTGGGAACTGCCTGAGATGCCCCCACCCCAGTGTGGCCTCTAGAACCCTGGACTGATGGGAGGCCTGGGTTCTAATCCCAGTCTGTCCCCACCTTGCTGGGTGTCCTCGAGGTGGTCGATTAACCTCTCTGAGCCTCAGTTTACCCTCATGGGAATTGGGGATTCTAGCAACTGCCTTATCGCGGGATCCAGTTCCGGTGAGTCTCCCGGGGGTAAACAGATAAAGAGGGCTTTTGAAAAGTACAAAGAGCTGTACTCATGATGGTGAGATTATTATTGTTACCTTGATGTGGAGATAAGGGAGGGGGAGGAGGCGCAGTGACAGTTGCCAAGAAACCTGGGAGCTGTCTGCAGCAGCTTCCTGCCTGGCCCATCCCACTCAGGAGCTGAGCCGCTCGGCCCTGCCCCCACACCCCTCCTGTACCCTTTCCCTAGGAGAGATGGGTGCTGGGGGGGTGGGGGGGGGCAGAGCTGGGGCCAGCTGGCTGGTGGCCATGCATCTGCAGGCCTGAAGGTGACCCAGGAATGTGTCTGGCCCGAACTCCAGGTTGGCTCTGGCTTTTTCTGTGACCTTGAGCAAGTCACCTCTTCTCTGGCTACCACCTTTTTCTGTGTCCAGCTGTCCTCTGTACCTGTAGGCATGTGGCCAAGCCAAACAGGGCAGGATCAATCCGGGCCTAGGGAAGATGCTTGGCAGGGGCTGCTGGAGCCAGGAGCTGCGATGGTGAGGCCACTGGGGGCCAAGGCTACGCGGCAGGACTGGGGGCCTGGGTCGAGGGCAGCTGGGACGTGTGTAGTAGATGAACCTTGGGCTGGAGTCCAACTGTGACACCGCCCTTTCCCTGGTGTGACGTTGGGGTTGTCACTTAACCTCTCTGAACCTCAGTTGTCTCATTTGGAAAAAGGTGATAATTGTCCAGCCTCACAAAGCTGCTGTGGTGATCAAATGAGTCAATGCCCATGTCAGCTGCAGAGCACTGTGTAGCGATACACCGTGGTCTCGGTGCAGGGAAGGCACGCTCCAGGCACCTTCCAGCGGCTACGTGTGCAGGAAGAATGCAAAGCATTTTAAGCTGGGCCAGGCCATAGCATCAGGAAGGTGCTCAGAGAAGTGGGGAGGAGCAAAGGCTTGGGAAACCTCATGTGAATGGAATGGTGGAAGCCAGGAGGAGTCAAGAACAGGATAGCAGGGAGAGGGGAGAGACGGAGAGGTTCATGGGGAGGAAGGAGGGTGACCAAGTTGGGGGAGGTCTGTAGAGGCCAGAGGCAGAAGGGGAGGGAGGGATGGGCTACAGAGGTGAAGAGGTGGTGAGCGGTGAGGAAGGTAAGAGGAGGGGGAGAAGCATAGCGGAAGCTAGAGGGGTGGGAGGCAGGTGAGAGGCTGGGTTTATTCATTCTTTTAAAAGTACTTACTGAGAAAGTACTGAGAAGCAGTATAGTGTGACGTTAGGGCACAGCATTTCGACCTGGATGGTCGGGGTTCAAATCCTCCATATTGCACTTACATTTACTGTCAGTGTGACCTTGGACAAACTGCGTAACCTCTTTGTGTCTTCATTCCCTCCTGTGAAAGACAAGGATTAGCTGAATTAATACAAGGGAAGCCGTCGAAGCCAACCCTGCACGTGGCACGTCTGCGTCAGCGTTGGCTGTTGTTGCTGCTGTGACTAGGATGGTTACCTGTCCAGTGGGACGGGCTGGGTCCCCAGGGCTGGCTGCCCGTGCTGTGAAGTTCAGATCTTGAGCCCTGGAGTGACAAATCTGGGTTCAAAGGCCTGCTCTACCTCCTGAACTGTATGACCTTGGGCAAGCTAATGTACCTTTACGAGCCTCAGTTTCCTCATGTGTAAAGCCTGCTGTTTCTGAGTCCCCGTCTCCTGGGGGAGCTCTGAGGGTTAAATAAGGCCATGCAAGGCATGGGCGGCTGTGGCTCTTGTCGCTACTGCCTTCCATCCCACAGGGCCAGGACCATGAGGGTAGGCAGGGCCCAGGGCCTCTGGTTTCCCGCTCTGTCCTCATCCTGGATTCCTTTCTTTCCCTTGGCCTTTAGGACCTCAGCATGACCTTTTAGGTGGACTTGCCTGGGAGGGGTGGGGTGCGGCGTGCTGCACATTTCCTGGAAGGAGCAGGTCCCTGGCCAGCCCAGAACTGGAGAGCCGAGGGCCTCGAGAGGCGGGGTCCTGGGGGCAGCCAGAGCCCCCTTGCCTTCAGAGGCCTCCATTGTCCTGTGCCAACGTGGACAGTCCTGAGGGAGATGGGCACCTGGGCATGGGGAGGCTGAAGCTGAGAGCATTCTGGAAGGCGGGGAGCGTGTTAGGGAGCTGCTGCCAGGCTGGCCCTCAGTGGCAACTGTTTGAGCCTGGGGGCCTGGCAGGAGGACAGGCAGAAGGTCACCACCTGAACAGCTCTGTCACGGGCAGAGACCTCCACTCGGCAGCCAGGGCCACCCCCAGACAAAGGTGCCTCCTGCCAAGGGGGCCCAAGCCCAGGCCTTCCTGGCCCCTGGGCGCCCTCCGCTCTCTATCCCACTGGCGCTGGCCCTGCTCAGGCAAGGGCCTGAGCTCTCCATTCTCGCTCTGTCACCCACTCGATAGGGGAAGTGGCTTCCCCTCGCTGAGCCTCATTTTCTCCCACCTGCAAAAATGGGGATAAATAATGCCAGCCTTGTAGCGCTGTAGTTAGGGTATATTACACTTGACCTGGTTGCAGCACACAGCAGGTCTCATTGAGGAGCCGCCATGGCAGCCACAATGGAATTTTCGCGGACCATTTCTATAGGCCTCTTTCTAGTCCCTCATCTCCGGCCTCCCCGGGCCGTGCCGGCACACCGTGCAGTCGATAGGAACCTGTGTTTAGGCTGTTCCCTTGGTCACAGACCTCCCATACCTCCCTGCTGCCGACCCCCATTGAGTCAGTCACCTAATCAACAAATGCTGAGTGCGATCCTAACTGGGGAGCCAGAGTTTACCATGAAGGAATGAATATCAAAGACTTTATTGAGTGAATACCTAGTAGCTGCCCAGGCTCTATGACAGCTTTTTTTGGGAACTGAGGCTGAGTGGAGTGTGTCACTTATGGTCACACCGCAGTTAAGTGCCTGGGAATACCTCCCCCACACTGATGTCACAACCTGGAAATGCCACTGTCACCATATCCATCCCTCGGGGCCAAGACCTTCCCTTTAAGCTGCACCCCTGGGAAGTGGAGAGGCAGGTGCAGCAGGGCGGTGGACAGCTTCTCTGGGCTGCTTCTCCCCCTTGGGTGGCTGGGCTGAGTGAGGGGAGTAAGCAGGGGGCTCGGAGCTTCCTCAGGGTCTCCCTTCCGGGCCAGCTTCCTGCAGGCTCATCCCCTCTGGAGGTGTGGCAGTCCCAGCTTCACCTGACTCAAGCAGCTGTGTGCCGCTGAGGATCATCTGGCGGCCCGTGTGACTCACCCTCTTGGTGGCTGGGACCTGGGCGGTGGAACAGCCACGTCAGGCTGGCCCTAGGCAGCCAGCGGAAGCCGGGCCTGCTCCCTGGGTCCCGGGAGCCACGGGGCGCCTCCTCTCCCTGACCCTGGAGATGGCCTCCTCAGCAGGCTCTCTGGGGTGACAGGAGCTGACTGCACCCTCACTAGACCTGTTTCCTTTCCTCCGGGCGGGGCGTGGGTGTGAGCACAGAGTCCGGGCTCGGAGTCAGTTAGGCCTGGCTCCGAGGCTGGCTCCGCTGCCAACCAGCTGGCTGACCCGTGTGTGCCTCTGGGTCCTCCCAGAGTGGGCATATCAGTGTGGTGAGGAGTCTGTGCCCTCAGGCCGGGCACATAGTAGGCCCAGCGAGTGTCAGGTATTGTTGCTGTCAGTGATAGCGGCAGCCCAGTGGCTACTCAGCCCAAAGGCTGCTGTCACCCTGAAGGCTCAGGGAGGGGTCCACACAGACCAGGGCACCCTGCTGAATCCAGAGGTCAGGTCTCAGCCATCTAGAGCAGCCCTCACTGCCCCTGCCTCAGTCTACCCATCTTCAGAATGGGAAATGGACATCCTCTTGGCCGAGGTGCGTGTGAGGGAGGCCTACTGGAGAGCTTGGGGAGGGACCCTGCTCACACCTCCGATCTCTGGGGAAGGAGAGCCTGTTTACCTGCCCTGCTCAGGAAGCCCCTCCTTCTGGGGACCCCAGGACCCACTCCTGCATGAAATCTGTCTCCCCTCCTGTGCCCCACCTCTGAGGCTGACACTTCCTCCCAAAGTTCACACGTCTCCCAGCTTGGGGCTCTCCCTGACCTCAGACTCTTCTTCTCTTCCAGGAGGAGCGATGGGCAGAACCAGCACTTCCCTCAGGCACTAGACCTGCCACGAGTGGACTTAGCCTCCCCACACACTGCTTCCCTTTACCCGAAGGTAAGTGCCCGCCTCCCCCTGCTTCAGGCGTGGAGACCCCCGGGGCTGAGCGATGCCCAGGAATGACTGCTGGGCAGGATGTAAAAAGTTCAGGCCACCACAGCCCAGCTCTGGGTGGGCCTGGTGCAGTCTCAGAGCTTGAACGGGGGTCTGTGGCACTGCTTGCTGTGGGGCAGAGCAGCTGGGAGTGAACTGGCCCCAACGAGTCTTCATTATCTTCCTCATCCACATCACCATCCGTTTCCTCTTCTGCACATTGGGTATCGTGGCAGTGCCCACATTGTGCAGCTACTGTGAGGATTAAATGGAAAAGTGCCAATCAAGCTTTCCATGCACAATACCTGGCACAGGGGAAAAGCCCTCTAAACGAGGCCATTGTCGTTGTTATCATCAAAATCAAATGTTCACCCAGTACCTGATTTGTGTCAGACTGTGCTGGGTGCCAAGTGGCCAGAATTCAACTAGACCCAGACCCTGCCTTCAAGGAGTCACAGCCCCATTTAGAGAGAAATAATTGAACGTACGCAGAGTGTGTCAAATACCAGTAATAACTGCTAGCATATGTTGAAATTTACTGTGGGCCACATGGGTACTTAGTGCTTTAAACGCAGTATCTCATCCTCAAACTGTAAGTACTATGTGCTAGCTACTATTACTAGTTCCATTTTACAGATTAGAAAATCGAGGCTCAGAGAGTTAAGTTACTTGTTCGAAGACACACAGGTAGGGTATTATGGGGTCAGGGCTGGAACCAAGGCTGCCTGACCAGAGTGCCTGGTCTCGTGGCCTCTCTAATACAGAGGGACATAAACCCTCACTTTTGCAGAACACTTTGCAGTTTCTAAAGCATGCCCACAGACACCATGCCTCTTGGTCCTTTATTAAACCTCAGGTGGTAGACATTCTCCAGATGTGGGTCCAGATGCTCAGATAGGCCGTGTGATGTTCCCTGGGTCACACAGCCAGGAAGGAGCAGAGGCAGGATCTGCCGATTTCCTCTCAGTGCTCTGGCCTGGAACAAGGGCCATGTTCCTCTCCTGGGCTGGAAGGACAGATGGCCAAGGAATGGTGTCTTTGTGAGGGGTCACTACCTCTAAGGGGGTCCCAAGCGGGGGTCCTATGGACAGTGTCAGGGGGACCCTCTCCTGCTCTCTGTGCCTGGGCAGTAGCCCAAGACGGGCCATGTAGATGCTGGGGCTTGGCGGAGGGGAGTGACTTGACGGCACCTGGGTCGTGAGTGAGCATCTGGAAGGAGGCCTGGGTTCTCAGCAAGGGCTGTGTGTCCCTGGACCGTGGCTTCTCCTCCCTGGGCCTTAGTCTTCCCATCAGGAAAACGAGGGTTGGAAGAGCCCCTCGCCCTGAGTCCTGCCTGCTCAGACAGCCTGGGGCCAGCCTTCTCAGATTAGCTCTGAGATGCCTCCCCTTGGGCTTCCCGGCCTCCAGGCTACCCAGAAGCCTCTGACTGTGCCAACACAATCCGGACTATAGGCTCTGGACAGCCTGCCCCTACCCCAGAATCAGGACACAGTCTGTGGATCATCCGCCTTTGACAGGGAGGGGAACCACGGTCCAGAGAGACTGAGTGATTCATCTGGATCCCTAAAGCAGTGGTAGAGCTGAGGCCACCAGGCCTGTGACACATTTGCCACCCCCCTCCCCTCGCACCCCTAACTCTGCACACATTCATAATGTTCATGGAGCCCGTTTGAGGGGCAGGAAATCTCCCTGTGCCAGTGGGCACATCGCTGCCCCCCTCTGGGCCTCAGTTTCCTCATCTGCAAAATAGAGGCGACAGTTCCTTCTCTACCCACCTTGCCAGTTTGCAATTGAGTGATAGCCTTGAAAGTAACTTTGGAAAGTAGAAATCAGGAAGCTGAACTATCATTAGCATAATATGTCCCCAGGGTAGAACAGGACACCCAGCAGGGACTCTCTTCACTGGGGAGCCACACCTGGGATACCCAGGACCTTCCTACCCTGCCCCCTTAGAGGGGGCTTCTTCACTTGGGGATTCAGAAACCTGCACAGGTGTACATACCCAGTCTACCCACATTTATGTACATGGACACAATCACATGTCTGTACATGTATTCAGAAACTTGCACATGTATACATGCAAGCATGTACAGACACATTATGTACAAACACCACCCCCCAAGGATGTCCAGGCACACATATTGTCTCAGTCACGCATACACACACACAGCTGCATGCACGCATGTGCACCCCCCCACTCTGCCTGGCATACAGGCATCTCTGGTGATCCGAGCAGGTCTCGCCTCCTCCCAGTGTGGGAATGGATGTTTCTCTGGCTGCTTTTTGATGGGTGCCCGGAAGCGCTCAGGCCTGGAAGTGCCTGCATAAATCAATATTTGCTGCTGTTAATTATTAAAAACAAAGCTACACCGTGTCTGGAACATACATCTCTGAAGTTCCCGCTGGCTCCATGGGTTCCAGCCTGACCCAGGGCCAGATTTGGGGGAAAGGAAGGCATAGTGACTTCCTTCCAGGAGTCCTTGGCTCTGGAGATAGAGGGTGGTGGGCAGTTGCCAGCAGCTCCTTCAGGACAGAGAGAGGCTGGGCACTGAGTTGGTGGGCAGCCCTGCCCCTGCAGGGTCCAAAGCAGCTGGTGTTGACTTGGCCACAGCTCAGGAAGCAATTTCCACTTTCCCAGCATCTGTTTGGGAAGGGGATGCTGAGGCTCCAGCCCTAGCCCCACTGAGCAATGGCAGACACAATACAGGGTCAGCTGAAAGGACCTGCAGAGACCTTATATTTTACAGACAGGGAAACTGAGGGCTACAGAGATGGCAGGGACTCACTCAGGTTCCCTCAGCAATTTGTAGCAAGGCCGGAGCTAGAACCCCTGTGTTCAGAAGTCTGCTCCATATGGTGGGGCCTTGGCAGACCCTTCCGAGGCCCTGTGGTTGTCTCCTCTGGGGCCAGGGGCAATTAGGATGGAGATGAGGGGTAGTTAGAGCCAGGCATGGCATGGGGCCTGAGGAGGAGAAAGGACAGGCCAACCACTGTTAGGCATTAGGAACAGGAGGGGTGAAGAGGGAGGGGAGAGCAGCTCCAGGCTTTTCCCCAGATTCCTAGCTCTGCCTTTCCTAGCTGTGTGATCCTGAGCATGATATTTCACCTCTTGGAATCAGTTTCCTCTCCTGTAAAATGGGGATGACACTAGTACCTCCTGGGTTCTGGGGAGAGGATGACATTTGCTAAGGGGCCAACATTAAGTAGGTGCTCAAGAAATGTCCCCTGTCTCCAAGGTAACCCCCTCCTTATCCTGCTTGGCTTCACAGCCCATCCCAAGAACCCCCTCCCAGGGGCCCTGAGGCGAGGTACCCAAAGTCTGGGAAGACAGAGGTGGGGTGGGGTGGGGGCGCGCTGGGGAGAGCCTGGTGGGGTGCCAGAGAGTTTCGTGCGCTGAAATCTTCAAGTGCTCCGCCAAGTTCGCGCAGGCGCAGTGCCCAGGGACCGCAGGTCTGGGCGCTCCGGGGGCGGGGTCTCCTGTGTCCCCGCCCCGGATCTCCGCAGCCCCGCCCCGGCCCCGCGCGGCCCGTACCTGGCGCCCCGCCCCCTCCGGGCCCGGCCGGGCTAGCCCAGCGCAGGCAGCGCTGCGCAGCGCCGGGAGCCGCAGCCCGAACGCGGAGCTCTTCGCTGCGGGGCCCGGGGCCGGGGGCGCGCGCGGGCCGAAGCCCGCCAGACCAGCTGAAGCGCCACCGGGACGGGTGCTGGGGCCGGGCCAGGCTCGGGATGGCGCAGATGAGGTCCCTGGCGCCCCCGGGCCGTCCGCGGAGGGGTTCGCTGCCCGTTGGGGCCGCCTGGCAGGTGAGGACCGGGGCGAGGTGGCCTGGCCGGGGGGCTCTGTGGGAGCCGCCGGGTCAGCCCAACTTCTTCGGAGCCCGGCAAGCTCTGCCCCAGCCAGGGCGCGTGTGCAAGGCTCCGTCATGGAGGGTGTGTTAGCTTCTGGGCTGACACTCTGCCACGGCGGCCACAAGACACACCCCTGCCCTAGGGTCTCGGGTCTTGGGCTCTTTTTGCCGCTGTCTGCAAAACAGAGTGCCCTGGTGGCACTGTGGCTTTGGTCTACAGTGGCTGTGAGTGTGTGCACTAGCCTCGGGACCATTTTGTCCATCCCCTATTCCCTTTAGGGTCGTCTGAATGTCACACTGTAACTTTGGGTGATGCTCTGGGCCACTGGCTCAGTCTTCCATGTGTCAGCGTGTTTGCTGCCCTCATAAGTCTGTAACTGTGGGTATCACTTGTCGCTGTGTGTACACTCTGGGTGACAGTACCATGTGTCAGTATTTATGTGGCTGTGTTTATGTGACTCCTGGTGCATTGTTCCTGGCCGGACAGGTCATCCTGAGGAGGGTGCTCTGGGGGACATCAATGTGCCCCATCAGTGTCACGCTGGTGCTGTGCTGGGCTGAGGCTGTGTGAGCCAGATGCCAGTGCTGCTGTTGTAAGGCGGTTGGGTTGACAGGCATGTTTGTCTACCTGGACTGCAGGTGTGTGTCTGGTTTCTGCTGTAACTGCCTGTGGAATTGGATTGTCCAAGCTCAGAAATGTTGGGTGTGGCCATAGGTGACCATGGGTCAGCATCTCCCGTGGCCGCCTCTGGTGCATTTCATAGGGTAGGTTTTGCCCCTGTGGTCAAGCCTCAGAATGTACACATGGGGGGTTTGTGTCTTGTGATTTTTAACAGAGCTAGCTGTGTGTGTGTGTTTGAGAGAGAGAGATGAGTGGTGTGAACTCAAGTGGGTGTGAGGTTCAGACCCGTGCCCCTCACCCCTGCTGATTAACTCCTCCTCACTTGCTACATGCTTGTCCTTTTTCTCAAAACTCATTTAATGCTGTGGGATCAAGGTTGTCATGTCTGATACACAGGGTGTGTGACTCCAGTGGGGAAAGTACGTGGGAGTGGGGCTCCGGAGCTAAGTTTCCATGGATGTGCCTGCCTGTATCTGCAAGTGCATGTTATTGTGTCTCCACACGCAGATGTGAGAGTGGTTTTATGGTATTCGTGTAGCTTCGTGTGCAATTACTGTGTGCAAATCTGCCCAAGGAAGCATTTGAGTGTGCGGCTCTTGTACATGGACCTGTGTATGTGTGAATGGGTGTGCTGTTGTGTAACTTAGGACACCAATATGGGTATATGCAGGTTAGTATATAACTTTAAGTCTAAGAACTGATGTGCACAGACCCTGTGGGTTTGTGTGTATTTGCTTTCTTTGGTACAGTGAGACTATTTAAATATCGGTATGTAGGCCGGCATGTATGTATGTATGTGTGTGTGTGTGTTTGAGCAAGAGAGAGAGAAAGTGCTTCTTGGTGCACTACCCCGTAGCACATCTGTGTGAGCTCAGGTAATGCCCCCACTGGGCAGCAGGAGCAGGGAGAGGCAAGGGGAGGGGCCCCATCCTGGAGACCCCGGGGGCTTCCCAGACCCAGCCCCCAGCCCAGCCAGCCATCAAGGATGCCGTCTTCCAGGAAGGCTCACAGGGAGTTGGCGCTGGAGAGGCTGAAGCTGCCAAGGCAGCTGGCAGATGCCTGATTAACCCTGCATGTGCCCTGGCTAGCCTCAGGAGAGGCTGTCTGTGAGCGGGGAGGTGGTGCGTGTGGACTCCCCCATGTGTGTCGGGCCGGTGGGATAGCCCAGCGTCCTCTCTGCCAACAGCCCACACTGCTTGGTGGGAGAGTGGAACCACAGACCCTCCTGAGGGTTCCAGTGAAGCTCCTCTCTGGGGCTCTTCTGAGGGGTGCATGAGCTGAACCTGGCACTGCCCACCTTGTTGTGACATGGAGGAGATGTGTCTCTCCCTAAGGGTCACGTCCCTCTGTCTGAGGCACCAGCCTCCTCCTTTAGGGAAAGGGACTGAGTTGGGTGGTTTTTCCTGCAGGGACCCAGGCTCTGGACTGACCAAGATGGTTGGTCAGAGCTAGGGGACCAGGACAGATGGGTTGGGTGCACACTTCTTGGGTGAGGACTGACCCACGCTCTCCCCATCTCCATTGTAGAACACAGATCTGTTTGAGATGATTGAAAAGATGCAGGTAAGGCCAGATCTGTTGCCCCTTCCTGGGAGCCACAGACGGGGCTGGGCTGGAGGTGGTGGCCCTACACCTCTCTCTCTGAAGACAGGCCAGGGGCCCTTGTCAGGAAGGAGATGGTGGCAGTGTGTTGTCCAGAGCCCTCTGTCCAGAGTAGAGGGTGGGGACTGGTAGTGCCCCACTCCCCATCTGAGCCTGGGGCCCAGGCCCCACCTGTACCTCCCCACCTCCCATCCCTGTGTAGGTCCCCAGCAGGGCTGGGGTCCCCGCTTCAGCCCAGCCCCATGCACACACCAACCTCCGTTCACCAAGAGGCATCCCAGACTCTGCAGGAATCCCATGTAAAATGGGAGGGGGGACAGATGCCAGGGCACAGGGCAGCCAGAGGCTGTGCAGCAGGCAGGGGGAGGTGTTAATGAGCCAGGCAGCCCCTGCTCCTCTGCCTGACCCCTGCCCACCCTCCACTCCCCAGCCCTGGACTTCCAGGCCCTTGTCTGTTTTTGGCATGGGTATGTATTGGGGAGTTGGTAGGGGGCTGGGGCAAAAACCACAGGAGCTTTCCCTGATGTCAGTCCACCCTCTAAACCCTCTCTCCTGCCCCTTGCTGTTTCTCAGCCTCTCTTACTTAGTCTTTCTGTCTCCATCTCTCCCCTCCTCCTCTCTCCTTCCCTCTCTTCCCCTCTCTCCCTCTCCCTCTCAGGGTCTCTCTCTCTCCCCTCCTCTCTCTGTCTCCCTCCCTCTCCCTCTCTCTCAACAACACGTATCTGTGTAGATGCAACAGCCTCCCTCCCCACCTCCCCACACTCACGCAGGCACGTGCATGCCACCCCTGCCCCCACTCCCTGCGGCAGGCATTCCGGCACAGAGCCCCCAGCCCCCCGCTGCTGCCGGCCTCCCACAGCCCAGGTTGCCAGCAGGACGGCCAGCCCTGCAGAGAGGCCTGCAGCACTGAGCACCCTGCCCTGGGAGTCACCCACATCGGTGGGCTTTCCCCTGCTACACAGGATGGGCTTTGAGCCCAGGGGAGGTGGCCCTGCAGCAAGCCTGGGAGGGGTGTAATGGGAGGGAGGGGTGGGTGTAACTTGAAGTGCTCCCCTCTCTTTGCAGGGAAGCAGGATGGATGAACAACGATGCTCCTTCCCACCACCCCTCAAAGTAGGTCTGAACCACAACCTCTCCAAAGGGCTTGGGGGACCTGGATGGGGCTGGGAAGAGGGGGGCAGACTCCCTCCCTCAGTGGGGGCGGGGCCTGGGGCATCCTGCCTCAGCTGCCCGCCCCCGCAGCCAGCCCAGGAGAACCTGTCCCCTTTGGTGAGGTAGGCCTGCCGTGGGCCAGGTGCTGGGGTTCCCAGCTCTGGCCCTCTAGTTCCGAGATGCGGAGGACCCCTCCCTTGCTGTAGGCCTGGGGCCTTCGTTCCAGCTCCTCCCTACCCCGAAATCTCACCCTGCCTCTCCTGGCTTTCCTGCTCGGAGGCAAAACTCCATTCCTCACAAGACAGCCTATGTCAGCTGCATTCCTGGAAGCCAGTTACGATGAGCAGTTGTAGGAGGACTCAAACCCAGGACCCAAGAGGCTTATGTGCTCTGCTTCCTGCAGCTCCTGCCTGGAAGGCTGAGGGGGCAGGGGGAGGGGGCAGGAGGAGGGAAGACCTGGTTGTCCCCCATCTTCCCACGAGAAGACTAACAGGAAGCTGGGGACTGAAAAAGATTCCAGGAGGCTCTCATTTAGACTCCAAATTTTCCTAGGGCGGGGGTGGGAGGCGGGGGAGGGAAGGTGACTGAATCACCCCACCAGGTCGGCATATGTTCTCTGTTTGGTGATTGGGGACCCCCAGCCATCCAAGAAGACTGGCTGCTAGGCCTAGGAGAGTGGGCCTGGGCTGCAGGGGTGAGGATTAAAGGGGGTTTATGGGCATAAGCCTGACACTTTGTCCGGGGCATGGGTTTTCCAAACGTGGTCCTCAGACCGGCTATCAGCCAGCATCACCTGGGAGCTTGTGAGAATGTAAATTCTTGGGCCCACCCCAGACCAAGGGCATCAGAAACTCCTGGAGTAGCACTAGACCACCTGTGTTTAATGAGCACCTCCCCAGGCTGTGCTGATGCACTGAGAACCCTGGTATGGCGGTTCCTTCCTGGGAGGCCGGGAGCCTCCTTCTGCCCCAGCCTCTTGCGGTCACCCCAGAGCTAGCCTCGCCCTGCCTGTGAGGTGCGGAGATGAGGATGGGCCTCATCCACACTGTCAGCCTGGGGCCGGCCAAACGAAGGAGCACCCAAGGAGGCTGGAAGCGAAGGGCACGGCCGCATCCCAGCTGGGCCTTGGTGCTGCTTGTGTTTTGCAGACGGAGGAGGACTACATTCCCTACCCGAGCGTCCACGAGGTACCCATCTGGACTTCCCGAGCCTATCCTCATCCCAAGCCCAGAAGGCATCGGACAGGGGGTTGGGACGCCCCAGTCTTCCTCCCTGTCAGGAGTCTAACCTCAGTAGGGGCTAGAGACTCAGTTTATAGGCCAAGGACTTCAGAGCCCATTTCAACCCAAGGCCTCTGAGCCAGACAGTTCAGCCTCTCTGCCAAGGCCATGATCTCAGCTCTACCTGCCCCCATCCCCATCCTTTGGGATGGGACTTGGGGCTCCATGTGGCCTGGGACCCACATAGGCTCTGGGTTGTCCCTGCTGCCCCTTAGGTGTGAGTTGGGGAATTGTCCTGGGGCCCCTGGTGGGGTGTAGTGTGGGTGGCTCTCAGCTGAGTCCCCCTTCAGGTCCTGGGGCGAGAAGGGCCCTTCCCCCTCATCCTGCTGCCCCAGTTTGGGGGCTACTGGATTGAAGGCACCAACCACGAAATCGCCAGCATCCCAGAGACAGAGCCGCTGCAGTCACCCACGACCAAGGTGAAGCTAGAGTGCAACCCCACAGCCCGCATCTACCGGAAGCACTTTCTTGGCAAGGTGGGTGGCCCACCAGTATTGCGGGGCTGGGCCTGGGAGGGAGAGAACCCTTGGGCTGGGGCCGAGTGACAGTCCCAGATTCCCGAATCTCAGGGAGCGTGCATGATGGAGTCACTCATTCATTCAACAAACTCTTGTTGCAAAAGGCAGTCTTACGGCGTAGTGGTCAATAGCAGAGATGCTACCAGGGTCTGCGTGCTGTCTCTGCCACTTACTGCATGGGACTTCCCCTCCGTATGCCTTTTCCTCAGCTGTAAACATGGAGATAATGATGATACCCACCTCATAAGGTTGCTACAAGGCTTTAATAACAGGATGCTTGTAAAGTGTTTAAAATGGCATCTAGCATAGAGAGTTTCAGTCAGGGTTAGCAAATAATGAGCACCAGCTGTGTGCCTAGCCCTAGTCAAGGCACCAGGTATACAGCCGCAAACAAACCTACACAGGCCCTGCCCTCAGCAGCTTGAGGTGGGGGGTGGGAAGACACCTAATGTCATGGCGGTGGCCTGGATCGATGCAACTCCCACCCCATCACCAGCCCCAGAGCAGGAGTCCTGCCGGGTCACAGCTTGTCACAGCGTCGTCACCCAGTGGTATTCGGGTCAAGGCAGGGAGCTGGAGGGGAGGTCCCACTCTGGGACCCTATATGTGCCAGGTTCTGCACCAGGTGCTGTCTCTGCGCCAGTTTACTCTGAGGCAACCATTGCAGCATGGGCTGTAGGGCCTCCAGGCCTGGGTGAGAATCTTGGCTCTTGCATTTATTAATGGTGTGACCTTAGGCCAGTTATTTAACCTCTCCCCCTGAGCCTGTTTCCTCGTCTATAAAAGTAAAATAATAATAACACCGTAAAGCACCCTGACAGGTAGCTCAGCTGGTTACAGTATCATCCTCATACACCAAGGTTGTAGATTGGATCCCTGGTCAGGGCACATACAAGAATCAACCAATGAATCCATAAATAAGTGGGACAACAAATCGATCTCTTTCTCTCTCTGTCTCTCTCTTACTTTCTCTTTCTCTAAAATCAATGAATAAAAATTTAAAATAAAAGTACATTAAAGCATAGACAACAATTCCTGGCATATAATAAGTACTTAATAAATGTTGGCTGTTATTATTCTATCTTTATTTATCTCTGAGGTTAGGATTGTCTTAGCTTTCAGAAGGGGAAACTGAGGCTCAAAGGGTAAAGTGACTTGATCAAGGTCACACGATTACTGAGCTAAGAATTGGACCTAGCTCTGCTGACTTTCCATAAGACATGCTACGGGAATAGACAACAATCTTGTACTATAATTATGTAATATGATAAATATCGTTGTGATGTGTATAATATGTATATCATGTAATGTGATAAAAATCTTTACTAAGGCAACCCTATTACAATATATGATATATGACTGTATCAAGGTAACATGTTGTACACCCTAATTTTATACAGTTATATGTCTAATATAGTTTTTCAAAAAGATATGCTATGGGAGGGTCCTGTTGCTAGGTGTATGCTTGCACGTGTGTTCACGTGTGTGCTGGGAGCAGGGGTGATTCCTTGGGGAGTTGGGACTCAGTTTGAGCGCAAGGCGTGGGCCTGACCCTGGGGGGTGTTGGTGCTAAGGCTGGGGGGAAATGAAGTGGAATCCATTGTGATGGAAACAAAACCCACAGGCCATTGCCTGGGGACAAACCCAGGACAGGGAGCGCCATTCCAGCTCCAGGCTGAGCCCTGTGGTTGGAGAGCCACCTGCATCCCAGCACCCTTGTCCAGAGGCCCTCAGCTGGGTCTGGCAGGTGTTGTGGTCTGGGGGACTGTGTGGGCCTAGCATGTAGTTGACACTCAGGAAAGTTTGCGAAGGAGTGCCAAGTGACAGCAAGTGCCTGGAGCACGGACGTGCCTGGAGCATCTGAGGAGGTGCGGGTCGAGGGGTTAGAAGAGGCATGATGATCAGAGTCAGGTTAGCAGCACCGAGAGAAGGGGACCCCAGGGGCGGGTAGAGAGCCAGGGCCGTCTCCTGCCTCCAGGTAGGGTGCCTGAGATAGCACTGGGGCCTGTGCTGGCACAGGGAGGAGGTGAGGGCGGCTTTGGGCATTGACTCCTTGGGGCTCTGAGCCCACTCTCGCACTGCGCTCCTTGGGCTCCCCTGGACCTAGGTGTGAGGTCTAGGAAACCCCCACCCTGAGGACTTGGTGCAGCTGCCCTTGAGGAGTGCCTGCCACTCCCCCTCTGCAGGCTGTGCCAAGCCTTTGGGGCTTTCTGTCACTCTGTGCCCAGGCAGAGCTGAGGGGACTCTCTGCCTCAAGTACACTCAGAACATCCCTGAGCTGCGGCCCCTGCCTCTTTCCCCGCCAGCCCTCGGAACACAGGTGTTCATGTTTGAACAAGACTGACTTCCAGGGCGACTCCCGGGGTGGGTGTGGCTAGGCAGCCAGCCCTCCTCCCAGGGCCAGGGCTGGCCGGGGCCCAGGCCCAGGCTGGGGCGTGACATCCCAGAGCTCCTGGCCTTCGGCTGCGGGACTTCCCCACCTGGAGACACTGGCCCTGCCTGGGCTCCTCGTGGTGGATACCGGCTCTGCAGCAGCTTCCCCTTGTGCTCTCTGGTTATTTTTTCCCATTTTTCCCCATCCTGCAGCTTCTTCCGGTGAGATAGGAGGGTGGGAACCTGCCTGATCAGCCGCCCAATGTGTTCATGAGGTGTTTCACTTCCTGTTTCTCATGGGCCCTGGCTTCAGGGACCAAAGGTTGAGCAATCAGTCAGTCAACATATTTTTATTGAGCCCCTACTGTGTGCTCAGCCCTGAGAAGGGCAGGGCTGAGACACAGATATCAAGATACAAATGTGCTCCTGACTCTGGTAAGAACCCAGGGAGCCAGGGTTTCTATAAACATTGATCTCACACCTACTCTGTGCCAGGTGCTCAATCTCTCTCAGTCCCCGCCGCCATCCCACATGTAGGTGGCCTCCCTCCTGTCTTATAGACTAGGAAACTGAGGCACAGAGAGGTGAGGTGACTTCTCAGGTTATCCAGCTGGCAAGTAGCAGAGGCATTTGAACGTGGGTCCAGCTGGCGCAGAATCTGCTCTTCGCTATGACACCTGCTTCGCGAAGGCCCCCCACCTAGGAGAGCTGGCTTTCTGGCCTGGTTTCCAGAAACCCCAGGCTCAGCCTCACCCACTCCCCCGGCCCCCACCTCCCGCCACAGGAGCATTTCAATTACTACTCACTGGACACTGCCCTGGGCCACCTTGTCTTCTCTCTCAAGTATGATGTCATCGGGGACCAGGAGCACCTGCGGCTGCTGCTCAGGTGAGGGTGGGGTGAGGGGCCCCGTGACAGCGGGGGTGGGGGGGGCTGAGGTCCTATAATCTGAGAGCCCGTCTCATTTTACCCACTATTCTAATTGAGGCCCAGAGAGGACCAAGGATTTGCCAGAGGTTGCACAGCGCGTGAGAGCCTGAGCCAGACCTGGCCCCCATCCTCCCTGGGGCCTTCCTTTGTGTGGAGGGGCTCCAGTCTCCTTTTCCCACTGCCTAGCCCCTCATTGGTGGGCTTTCTCTTCCCAGGACCAAATGCCGGACATACCATGATGTCATCCCCATCTCCTGCCTCACCGAATTCCCCAATGTGGTCCAGATGGCAAAGGTGAGGCCTTGTTCCTTCATGCTGGGCTCCCGGTGGACTCCCCAGGTGGGCACACAGCTTGGGGGCTGCAGCGTGGCCTTAGCACACCCTCATGCGGCCCCATGTCTGAGGTCCTGCCTCTCACATGTTCCCACGATGTCCATCTGCTGGGCCTCTCTCCCCTGCCTGTGCATTTTGACACTGTTTTAGAGCACTTTCGGAAACGGGGGACCGCAGTTCTCTGCACCCTGTTCTGAGCAACAGTGAGCCCAGTCCTGCTTCAGCCTTGGTGGTAGCAGTTCCCTCTCCTGTCTGGGCCTGAGCCCGCCCTGACCTTGGCCTGGCTGTCCCAGAGGCCCCGCCCCCTCCTCCTGGCCCTGCCTTTAGGTGTCCCCTTATCTCCCCCGCAGCTGGTGTGTGAAGATGTGAATGTGGATCGATTCTATCCTGTGCTCTACCCCAAGGTACGGCCGGCCCTGGGCCCTGCTCACTGATGGCGGGTGGGCAGCTAGCGGACTGAGCGTTTGTGGGCACCTGCTGTGTGCAGGGTATTTTTCCTGTTTCTCACTTAATCCTCTCAATGACCCTGCAAAGTCCGCAGTTTGCAGAAGAGGAACCCGAGGCCCAGAAAGGTTCTGTGTCTTACCCAGGGATGCACAGCAGATAATAAAGGTCTACGTGTAAGCCCAGCGTTGCCAGCCTTGGAGGCGTGCCTTACCTCCAGGGACTCACTGTCGTTTGGGGACCCTCCCAAGGGCAACCTGTGCCCGTGAGCTGGGGGCCTTCACTGGCCTTGCCTTCTGACCCAGAGGAGACCTGGTGGGAGAGTAACACAAGCACCTTCATAAATCCTGCCCCACAGGTGGCAGCCACATTTCCGGGCACTGTGACAATGTGGGGAAAGGGTAGGGACTTCTGTCTGCAACGCGCCAAGGGAGATTCCTGAAAGAGGTGGGCCTTGAAAGACATGTAAACCCTGGTAGCTGTGGCTGAATTGTAGAGCAGGATACCGTTCCTGAGGGGTGGTGTGGTCCAGGAGAGGTCCCTGAAGGAAGGGGCCTTAGAAATTAGATGGCGTCTCTTAGTTACAGGAGGGGAAGCATGCCCAAGGTGAGGAGGGAGCTAGCTCAAGGCCCCACAGCAAGTTGGTGGGACTTGGCCTGTTCTCGAATGATGAGGTGGGTGTACAGAGGAGCCAGGGAGGGAGCTGGGTGTTACAGAATGGAATAGGGATGGAGGTTCATAGACAAAACTCAGGAGCAATGAGCTTGAATTTCAGAATCCAACAGATCTGAGTTCAAGGCCCACCTCTGCCTTGCAAGCCCTTGACCTTAGGCAAGGTACTTGAGCTCTGAACTTTGGTGTCTTCACCTGTAAAATGGGAGCAGCAGGAGTGTCTCCCTCATGGGCTTGTTCTGAGGATTAAATGAGGTGATTGACGTGGCATGCCAGGTGCCTGGCACATAGTAAGAACAATAAACAACAACTGGACAAAGCCATCTGTCTCACCCGTTGTCCTCTCCCCACAGGCTTCCCGGCTCATCGTCACCTTTGATGAACATGTTATCAGCAATAACTTCAAGTTCGGAGTCATTTATCAGAAGCTTGGGCAGGTGTGCTCACTTCCTCTTCCCTGCTCCCCCACCTACCTGGTTGTGTCCCTGGAACCTCAGACCTTTGGCAGGGAGGGTGCCTCCCCAGGGACTCGGTTTCCCAGGGCTGCCAGGGGTCCTCCTTCCAGCCTTCTCTGGGGTTGGGGGACAGGGCAGCTCAGGCGCTCCAGCTCCCTGACCTCCACCCTCCGTGTGTTCCCAGACCTCAGAGGAGGAGCTCTTCAGTACCAACGAGGAAAGCCCTGCCTTTGTGGAGTTCCTTGAATTTCTTGGCCAGAAGGTCAAACTGCAGGACTTTAAGGGGTGAGCATAAGGGTGGGATAAGGAGAGTACAATCTGACCCATGCCCTAGGGCAGGGAGGGAGCCCCCGTCCTGGCCCCACGGAGGCCTGGCCGGGGCTGGAGACTGAGCCGTGGCCTGGGGGGCCTGGGGCAGGTTCCGAGGAGGCCTGGACGTGACCCACGGGCAGACGGGGACCGAGTCTGTGTACTGCAACTTCCGCAACAAGGAGATCATGTTTCACGTGTCCACCAAGCTGCCCTACACAGAAGGGGACGCCCAGCAGGTAGTCTGGGCACCCACCCACCCACCTGCTTCCCACCTGTCCTCCTCTTCCCCCCTGCCGGTCCGTTCAGTGCCCGCGAGATCAGGCTCAGGGGGCCCTGGGATATGGAGGATGGAAGTGTTCCAGTCCCTGCTATTTATGGGCTCTAGTTGGGGCAGGGGAGACAAGATATTACAAGGTTGTGAAAGCCTCAGTTTTCCCATCTGTAAAATGGGGATAATAATGGCGCCTACCTCATAGGTGAGCGTAAGTGAAGGATGTACATACAGTGGCTGGAAGGCAGTAATGCGGTAACTCAACAAAGAGGAGTTAATCTTTCTACAGGGAGTGAAGGGCATTATGGGGTCACATGGGGAGGACTTAGATTTGGCAGAGGTGGGAGTCAGGAAAAGCTTTCAAGATAAAGTGCCTTTTAGGCTGCAGAGGAGCTGGGAGAAGTGGGGGGAGTGTTCCAGGTGGAGAGAACGGCTTCTGCACAGGCCTGAAGGTGAGGGATTGTAGGGCAAGTCCTGGGAGCTAACCTTGGAAATGGGCCGCCTTGACCTACGGTTCCTGCAGAACTGTCTGCCTCACCCCACCCCCACCCCCGGGGGCTAAACCGGTAGTGTGAGAAAAACGGAAATATTTCTTTCTTTCTTTACTGTCATTTTATTTTCTTTAATGAGATTTTCTGTTCATTTTAGCAACATGAATTTAAACTGGGTGGAACTTGTTTATTCAAGAGGGGTCACATTTGGGTATTTAAACAAGAAAAGGGCTGAGAGGCAGGGCCTGGGGACCATGTGTTCAAGTCCCCTAACTCACTCTAGGGCCTTGCAAGTCACTTCTCTCTCAGCCCCCCATTCATCTGTCACAGGATTCCAAGAAAACAAAAATAATTTTAAGACAAGTTTCTCACCACATTTTGGGAGGGGAGTGAATCCTTAGATGTGCCCTCTGCCTACCCCAGAGCCTTCCCACCCCCACCCCCATGGGTACCTTCCCCCACGCCCAGTGGCCCCTCTTTGGCCAGTTGTGAAGGCCTACGGCCCTGTGCTCAGTTGCAGCGAAAGCGGCACATCGGAAACGACATCGTCGCTGTGGTCTTCCAGGATGAGAACACACCCTTTGTACCTGACATGATTGCGTCCAACTTCCTGCATGCCTATGTGGTGGTGCAGGCCGAGGGTGGGGGGCCCGACGGCCCCCTCTACAAGGTGGGTGATCCCAGAGCCTCCCAGAACATCGGTCACTGTCCCAGGCACAGCACCGCCTCACTCCCTACGGAGCCTCCACGAGCCTCAGCATTCCCAGCTGTACATGGCGGGGCTGTCCTGAGGGCTCTGAGCCCTCTTCTTGCTCCAACGATGGAGGATTCCCATCCTGCCCTCTGTGTTCCCTGAGGTTCCCCCTCAAAGAGGCCGCTTCGCCTCCTTCCCCTTGACCATTCTCAGTGACTCCTGAGACACCCCTTCCCCCCACTCAAGTTCAGGGCCAAGGATGGAGGAGCTGCAGTCTGGGGTTTAGCCACGCCATCAGCAGTCACTGACCCTCCCCTGCCAGGGAGCAGGCCCTGAGCCCAGCATGGGGCAGGATAAGGAGGGCAGTAGGGGTGTCCGGCGGGTGTGGGGACTCCACAGGAACTGCTGCCCTCCCTTCCAGGTCTCTGTCACGGCCAGAGATGATGTGCCCTTCTTTGGGCCCCCACTCCCGGACCCTGCTGTGTTCAGGAAGGTGAGAGGCTGCCCCCAGCCCCTGTCAGGGGTGGGACAGAAAGCGTGGGGGCCGGGAGGGGGTACGCACATTCTACCATACTAGGTCCTGAAGCCCCGCTGCATGCCAGGGCAGCTGGGCTCCCCTGACTGCACCTGAGACCTGGCTTTCCTGTCCATCTTGCTAAAAATTATGCCCTTTATTTACAAAGTCACAGAACAAGCTGGATCATTGTTTTACATTTTTCCATAGCAGACTCCGTGGCTTGCCTCATTTCGATTATCTTTTGGACAATGAGTCTTCTTCCTTCTAAAATGTTTAGGGAGGGGGCACATGTCTCTCTTGCCTCTCAAGAAGCCTCATCTAGAGCCTTGGCTTTAGTCCCCACAGACTGAAGTAGTAGGAGCCCCCAAGCAGGCCCCTTACCTCTGTGGGTTTGCTCTCCTGAGGGGCGGGCAGCCGTGAAGGGCCTAGGGGGCCCTGCAGGTGCCAGGGCTGGGGAGCTGGGCCCAAGGAGGTGCCCTGGGGGTGAGGAGGGTGACATCTGGGCTTCGGCAGGATGTGGCTCAGGGACCCCAGCCCTTGACACACAGGGGCTCAGCCCCTTGTCTCTGTTTGCCTGACCCCCTCTTTCTGCTCTCTACACTCGGGGCTCCCAGGGGCCTGAGTTCCAGGAATTTTTGCTGACAAAACTGATCAATGCTGAGTATGCCTGCTACAAGGCAGAGAAGTTTGCCAAACTGGAGGTGAGGATGGGCTGCGAGGGCTGAGCCCCTCCTCGCAATTTAGAATTTTAGCCCTGCCCCTTGGGGAGGGAAAAGCCAAGTTCAGACCTTGGCCTTAGGGAGGGCTGCTAGGGGACTACGGATTTACAGATGAGTAGGGCTAGGGTCAAGGGAGAGGACGCAAGGCATTTCTAGGGAGGTGTGAGCCATGCCCGGGAGGGGCTGGTGGGCAGGCCGGCACCGAGGACTGCGTGGGGGGAGGGCAAAGGAGGGGCCTGAGAGAAGCCTGGCGCAGGCTTGTGGGGTGGGGGTGGGGGCGGGGGCGGGGCCCAGGCCCACTCCCCACTCACCCAGAGGGTGGCCGGGATTTGAACTGTGGGACCGAACGGGTGATCACTGGGGTCTCTCCCGACGACCTGGACCTGGCCCACAGGAGCGGACACGGGCTGCCCTCCTGGAGACACTCTATGAGGAACTACACATCCACAGCCAGTCCATGATGGGCCTGGGCGGCGACGAGGACAAGATGGAGAACGGCGGAGGTGGCGGCGGCTTCTTCGAGTCTTTCAAGGTGAAGGTCCAGGTCTACCTGGGCTCAGAGGGCCAGGGGCCAGGCCGGGTTGCAGTCCGAGGCAGACAAGCATAGGGGTGTGGCTAGAGGCGGGCTCGCTTTAGGGGTGGGGTGGGGGCGTGGTTAGGGGTGGGGCTAAAGGACGCTTGGGGGTGTGGTTAGAGGCGGGCTCCCGTGGGGGTGGAGTTGGATGGGGGTGTGGCTCGCGGTGGACTTAGGCTCTAGGAGGGTGGGCTTACCCTTGCTGTGTTCTGAGACCGGGTAGAGCTTGCAGCTGGGAGTGTAAGGTGGAGCTCTGGAGAGGAGCTAAAGGTTGGAGGAGGGGCCTACGAATGGGGGCGGAGGCTGCCTGGGAGTTCCCCCGAAGGTTGGAGCCCTCTGGGTGGCAACAAGATGTCTCTGGTGCCAAGGGTGGTGGCTACTAGGTCAGCATGTAAGGAAAGAGGAGGAGGCCTCTGTCCTGGTCGAAGTAAAAAAATAGGTCCTGGAGGGGTATGTGATCCAAACGGCCCTAGGAGAGGGACCTGGCCTGTGAGGCCATCAGCTTGGATGACCGGCCCTGGCTGTCTCTGGTTGAGCTTAGTGTTAGGAGCACAGACGTCCTGCGTGCAAACTCCAGCTCTGTCACCAGCTTGCTCATTCTCTGAGCCTTAGTTTCTTTATCTGTCAGGTAGGGCAATGGCAACTTGTCTCATGCAATTGTTAAGAATTATTTGTAAAGCCATTAGATCAGTGCAATGGAAGTTAAAAGCAAAATATGAATCCCTGACCATCTGCCTCAGCAACCGTTGACCAAAGTGAGAGGCAGAGGGAGGAGTTCCTTTCCTCCTCAGATAGCGCCTGGACTCCTCCAGACGGCAGGTCCCCGGGCAGTGCTTCTTTGCTACCATCTGCTCCACCCATAGGAGGAGGACTGGCCACCCTCCAGGTGCCCAGCCGGGCCCCGCCCTCACCCCAGGCAGGCCACAAAGCTGGAGATGTGGGTTCATCTGAGGGGATTAGGTCAGCTGCCCAGGTCTGCCCTGGAATAAAGCGAACAGACCGTCTTTGAAAAAGAGGCCTGAGGAGAGCCCTGCGTCTGCCCACTGGAGACAGGGATGGGTGGGGTGAGCATGGGTCTGGGGTGTCTTCTTTGGGGGAGGGCTCCAGGGATCCCATGTCGTGCTGGTGCTGGACAGTGGACCTGGATTACGTCAGAGGATTTCTCAGAGGCAGCAGAGCTCACAGTCAAGGATTCTGGTTTGACACGTGGGTTCCGGACTTGCCTCTGCTCCGTTTCAGCAAGTGTAAAACGGGCGTGGTAGCAACGCCTACCTACTCCATGGGGCGACTGAATAAGAGAGCGAATGTAAAGTACCTGGCCCCATAGTAAACACTTAGTATGGACTGACTGAAAAAGCAAGGGAGGGAGGAAAAAGAACTGTAGGAAGGTTTCCTAAAAGAAACAGACCGAGATCCCTGGGGGGGCTCTCTGTGCATGTTTTTGGCCACGACCCAGTACTTTGTTCAGTCCTCACAACTACCACACGAGAGACTCACAGGCCCCAAGGGGTAAGGGGCTTGCCCCAGGTCACCCAGCAAGTTGGTGGCAGAGCCAAGGCCCAAACTGCCCTTGGCACCATGTGGACCTGACTCTTGTGTGGCCTCATGCAAAAGGACTTCCTGGGGTCACTCAGAGTGGCATTGGTGGGGAGGACCCAGATGCCTGGATTCCTGGGTGTCCCTGAGGGGCAGGTGCTTATGAAGCCCTTGCCTCTCCTGCCCTCATTCCACCTTCGCAGCGGGTCATCCGGAGCCGCAGCCAGTCCATGGATGCCATGGGACTAAGCAACAAGAAGCCCAACACCGTGTCCACCAGCCACAGTGGGAGCTTTGCACCAAACAACCCTGACCTGGCCAAGGCTGCTGGAATAGTGAGTCCCCTCCCCCGGAGGCCGTCGGCTCTCACCTGCCCCCATTGGCCTGCTATCTGATGGTCATCCATCCTGGGCTCTAGGCTCGGCCTAGCCACTGCTCTCCATAGGGGTCAAGTGCCCAGGCCATAACACTGTGATGCTGAGGGTCTCTTTCCCAGCTCCTCGGCCCTCCCCTCCTCCTGGCCCCTTATTCACGTGTGACTTTGGGTCAGCTCTGGGGCAGCCTCTATGTCACATTTCTTATTGAGCACCTACTGTCTATCATGTGCTGGGAATTGGGCTGCTGTGTGAGCACCTACTGTGTGAGCACCTACCTCCTTGAGTTTCTGGGAGCACCTACTGTGTGTGTCAGGCTGTGGGCATGCACTGTGTGTCCGGACCCGGATTTCTCTGTGAGCACCTGCTGTGTGCCTGGCTCTGAGATGCTGGTGGGGACCTGGGTTGTTGTGTGGACATGTACTCTGTGAGCACCCACTGTGTGTCAGGTCCTGTGTGCCCAGCCCTGGGCTGTCGTGTGAGAACCTTCTGTATGTCAGAAAATGGGCGGCTGAATGAGCACCTAGTGTGTGCTAAGCCTGGAGGTCAGTGAATACGCACTCTGTGTCAGGAGGTGAGCTGTCGTGTGAGCAGTTACCCTGTGAGCGCCTACTTCTGTGTGCCTGGCTCTAGGCTGCTGTGTGACACCGCCTGTGTGCCAGGGCCTATGTGGCCGTGGCTACCTACTGTGTGTCAGAATTGGGCTTCTGTGTGAGCATCCCCTGAGTGAGCACCTCCTGTGTGATTACTTACTGTCCGCCGGGCTCTGTGGGACTCTGCTACTAATAATACTCAGGGGGTGTGCTCGGTCACACAGGATGGGTAAGGCCTTCGGCCGTGGGCCTAGCTGCTTTCCGCCACCTACTGGCCACCCCCTGCACTGCACCCACTGCTCTGCTCCCTGCTCCCCATCCATCCGCCTGCCTTATCCATCCGTCCATGCATCCCTCCCTCCCCCCTTCCCTCCATCCCTCCATCCTTCCATCCCTCCATCAACCATTTATTGGCTGTCTGCTGCATGCCAAACCCTGTGCTTAGTGCTGTGAGGCTGTGTCACTTGTGGTGAGAAGGACCTCCCACCCCAATCCTGCCCCATGATCTGGCCTGGTCAGGGAGCAAGGCGGGTCCTCCGCTGTCCAGCAGTCACGAGGCCCAGTGTCATTGGAGAAGCAAGCCCACCCTCCCCGCAACTCAGACTTACAAGCCACTCCCTTCCTCGCTGGAGTGGCCCAGCCTCCTGTGGGTGGCTGTAGAGGGGCCCCGGAGACAGGGCCCTGCCAGCAGCACCCACCATGGCAGTAACCAGACCCATTTCTGTTTTTGTTTTTGCACAACTCCTCCCTCTCTTCATTTGGCTTCCTATTCCTTCCACTCTCCTGTTTCCTTGTTTCTCCTTCCCCTTCTCTCTCTTCTCTCATCCTCCCTGTGGCCTCTCGCCACATTTTTTTCTCACCTTCTTACACATTGATATTTCTTCTGTCCTCTGGACCCGCCTTCTTACTCCCTCTCCTCCTCCCTCCCTCCCTCCCACTGTTTTCTCCCATCCTTCCCGTGTCTGTCTGTGTCTCCTCCCTGGGCCCATCTTTGTGTCTGTCTGTCTCTATTTCAACCTGTGCCCCGCCTGCGGGCCCCTCCCACGTGTTCCTGTCTCTGTATAACCATCTGTTTGTCCATCTCTCTTTCCCTTGTCCCCTCTACCTCTCTTCCTATCTCTCCTCCCCTTGGCTCCCTGGCCTCGTCTTCCTCTCTCCCAACCCCCACCCCACTCTCTTGTTTCTCTCTGTCTGCCCTTCCCGCCTTCCCCTGTCTGTCCTCTCGGTGTTTCCGTCCTGCCATCTCTTTCTCTCTCTCTGACTCTCTCCATGTCTGTCTGTCTGTCTCTCTCTCTGCCCCACCTCCTGCTGCTTGCCAGTCATTGCTTATTCCTGGGAAAAGTGCGAGTAGATTCGGACGCCGGGGCAGTGCCATAGGCATAGGAACCGTGGAAGAGGTTGTCGCCCGCGGGGCCGCCGGCTCTGGAGGCTGTCTGCACGCGCTCTTCTCTGCTCGCTCTCAGGACGGAGGCCATATTGGGGACGTTGCCCCCCTTTCCCCCGGACAGGCCCAAGGGCGTGCAGGTCGGAGTGCTGGCAGCTCTGATGGCACTCAGCACCTGCTTTGGGGCCTGGTACCTATGCCAGAGCCAGTGCCCCCTGCCAGGGGCTTCTGGCCCTGCCCTGCTCTGCTCCTGGGACCCTGGCCCAGTCCCTGCCACAGCCTGGTACCCAAAAACCCTCTGCCCAGCCACACGTCCCCCAATATCGCCAGTTCTGCATGGAGCTCCATCCCTCCCCTCTGCCCTGACTCCCCCTCCCCACCATGAAGTGGCCTGGGGGGTTCCTGCCCTCCATGCCTTTCTGGGGCCCACCTCCTGTGTGTGTGGAAACGAGGGTTGGGGGGGTGTGTCATCTGCTGGCCCAGAACCGCCCCCAGCCAACTTGGAGAGTCTCAGGTGGGGCGGGGCCAGCATGGGGCAGGGGCTTGGGTTGCTATGCCCACTCTCTCCCCACTGACCCTGGGCTGCAGGTCCTGTGAAGCCCTGGAGGGTGGAGAGGGGGCAGTCACTGTGAGGACTTGGCCCCTCCCAGCCCAAGCGGCTGCCAGCTGCCTCAGGCCCAGCCCTGCTGTGTGATCTCATGGGGGGGGGGCCGCCTTGCCCTTGCCCTTGCCCTTACCCTTACCCTTACCTTTACTGGGCCTGTTTCCCTCTGTAAGCTGGAAGGGCGTCCTCTGGAGATGGACATTTTCTCTTGTTCTTTCTTGCTCTTTGCCTCTGCTTCAGGGCCTGGAGCAGCAGGGCTCAGGGTGGCATGTGGGGGGCACCCGGGCTCCCAGGGCAGGTGGGCACTGAGTTGGGGGCCTCTCCCCGCAGTCACTGATCGTCCCTGGGAAGAGCCCCACAAGGAAGAAGTCCGGCCCCTTTGGCTCACGCCGCAGCAGTGCCATTGGCATCGAGAACATACAGGAGGTGCAGGAGAAGAGGTGGGTGGGGCGGGGCGGCTGGGATGCGCCTGCGTCTCCTCTGACCCCTTCCCTGACGCCCACTCAGTGCAAAGCAAAGCAGGCAGGAGGGAATGCCCACCGTTCTGCGCCTCGGTTCCCCACTGCTGACAGCTGTACGGTCAAGTTCCTGTTGGGCGCCAGGCCAGCTTGTCACGTAATGTGATACGTTTTCATCCACTCAGCAGTTCTGCTGGCTCCCTGGGGGTCCCACCTTGCGCATCAGGATGCTGTAGGTCAGCGGGCTCAGGGGTTTGCCCAGGTCACACAGCCAGTGGTGGGCAGAGCCCGGATTTCTGGCTATTCCTTGGGGGTCTGTGTGTCCATCTGCGTGTGCGGGGGTGGGCGGTGTGCTGTACTAGCAGCAGGCAGCTCCTGGGAAGCCGAGCATAGTTCTTGGGTGTGAATCCCGCCTTTACCACATTGGGGCTATGTGACCTTGGGAAAGCCACTGTACCTCTCTGAGCCTCATTGTCCCGCTCTGAAAGGTGAGGGTAAGAACACAACCAACATCATGGGGCTGGTAGGGGGATGCAGTGCATGTGAAGCAGGGTGGCAGGTGCACTTAGGCTCGGGAATGGTGCTGGCATCGTCCTCAAATCCTGGGTTCAAGTATTGGCTTTGGTGTGTCCTAGACAGGTTCCCTCCTGTCTCTGGAGTCCAGATTCCTGATCCATAACGGGACAATTGTACCCGCTTCCATGGAGAGGAGGGCTCGGGTGCGTCCTGTCTTATGTAGGTGCTCCGTGGTACCTGCCCGGGCCTGGCTGCTTGGCCGCAGGGCTGCTCCGAGGCCGGCCTCTGCGGACACAGGGTATGGGAATAAGCCAGGCGGTGCCCATGACCTGCTCTCGCCACCTGGGCCTCATTCTACCTGATGCCAGGCCCGGTGCTGAGTCCCCCCACCGCCCCCCTGTGCCCCGCAGGGAGAGCCCCCCGGCTGGCCAGAAGACTCCAGACAGCGGGCACGTCTCACAGGAGCCCAAGTCCGAGAACTCGTCCACCCAGAGTTCCCCAGAGATGCCAACGACCAAGAACAGGTTGGGGCTCATTTATTCCATCCCCGCCTGGGCCTGGGGCTGCCAGGGGGGCCTGGGGCTGCCAGGGGGGCCTGGGCACTCTCTCATGTCCTCCTCGACACATACAAGCTCTGGAATACAGTGGTGACTGGCGCATACATGGAGTGACAACCCAGTGTGACATATGCTGATGAGCTATTTCTAGATAGTCACGGTCAGAGGAGAACAAAGCAGGGATGCAATGAAGAATGACTTGGGTGGGTGACTGGGTGGGGGAGTGAGGTGGGTGCTCAGCGGAGACATCGACAAAGGGCTGAGGTTTGAATTGAGAGCTGAGTGAGGCGTCAGCCCTTCAGAGGGAAGCGGGTCCCGGGTAAGCAGCACAGCCAGTGCAAAGGCCCTGGGGCATGCTTGCAGGATGGGAGAAGGGCTGTGCTTTGGAGCCGAGCGAGTGAGGGGCCAGGGCCCCGTGAAGGGGCTGGGGCTGGGGCTGGGGCGGGGGCAGGAATGGAAGCAGGGAGGGCGGCCAGCAGGCTGCCCCTCCGTTCAGTGCTTGTTGCCCCTCTGTGCCGGCTCTGGGAGCAATGAGAGGCTTCAGCCCGGCATGAAGAGTCAGGCACATGAACAGAGAAGCAGGGAAGGGTGACAGGGATGGCGGGAGACAAGGCATGCAGGACCCAGAGCGGGGAGGCCACGCGCCTACGGGAGGAGGAATCGGGGGGCCCTCCCTGAGTAGGGGCCCTTGGCTGATTTTTGGAGGATGAATTTCCTTTTTGGGATTTGAGGGAAAGAATAAGACTCCAGGCAGGAGACACAAGGGCCTGAGTGTGGAACAAAGCAGAGAGAGGGCTAAGAGCGCAGCCTGTGGCATTGGAGGGCCCGGACCCTGTCCCTTCTGCCGCATACGGCTGCTGACTGGGGCTGTGTGCCTGCCCCTCTGTGCCTTGGTGTCTCCTCATCTGTAAGATGGGTCTAATAACAACAGCAATGAGATATTTCAGGTAAAAGCACTTAGAACAGTGCCTGGCACAGGGCAAATGTGCACTAGATGATAGTATCCTTAATAGTTATTGAAACAAAGCCCCCAAAATTAGACTTTATCTGGGGAGCCCTGAGATGGTTTTGAGCAGGGTGGGGACATGACCAGACCCACATGTTCAGAAGGACAGTGGCGGGGGCAGGCCCAGAGGCCTAGGGAGCTGTAAAGCAACCACAAAGGTGCCAGGCAGGCTGTCGGCGGGCCTCCCGGGGCTGGGAGGGCGGAGGACGGGGCCTCGGCCCAGGAGGGGCCCTGAGTGGGTGCAGCTGATGGGGTGCTGTCTGTGGCAGAGCGGAGACAGCAGCCCAGAGAGCAGAAGCGCTGAAGGACTTCTCCCGCTCCTCGTCCAGCGCCAGCAGCTTCGCCAGCGTGGTGGAGGAGACGGAGGGTGTGGACGGGGACGATACCGGCCTGGTGAGAGCCCCACGGAGCAGGGGCGCTCCAGCACAGACGGGCACGGGGGCTCTGTGGTCCCTGGAGCCGCTTTGGGTAGAAGCACGAGCCGGGGTGTGGCTCAGATGTGATGGGGGGTCCAGCCCGAAGGAGTAGCGCAGACTAACCCTCCCCTGCTCGTGAGACTTCCACGCTCCCGAGGGTCCCCCGCAGAGAGCCCAAGCCCAGACACCTTGGAAGACCCCGTCCCTCCCTCCTTCCCCACCTTCCTCCCTCCCTCCCTCAGCCTCATCTCTTACCACCTCAGCAATTCTGTACGCCTTGCAGTCCCCCAAACGCTCTAGGCTTACCCCACCCCAGCCCTTTGCCCGTGCGTTGCTCTGACTGAGTCCCACCCGTCCTCCTCGGCCCAGCGCACGTCTGCTCCTTCTGTAAGCCCTTCCTGACGGTCTCCTCCCGGGGTAGGTCAGGAACCCCCGCTCTATGCTCACAGGCCCCTGGGCTATGCCCTTCGCACCTTTCGCCCTCTTCAACACACTTTCGGCGGACACCTGTCCCTTGCCAGGCCCTCTCCCACGTGCTGCAGGCACAGCTGGGAACAGTGCAGGCCAGGCTCTGCCTGATGGGGCCTGGAGTCTAGAATCACAAGAGGCTCTTCACAGTCTGTCTCGCCTCCTGGCCTTTGGGGTCTCTGAGGGCAGAGACCGTGCCCTATGTCTCTCGGTGGCTTGGCCCAGGGGAACATCAGTGAATGTTTGTTGGATGAATGAATGGGAATGTGTGGTGTGTGCCTGTTCCCACTGTGTCCCGCTGTGGTCTCCCCGGAGCAGACATTGCCCAGCCGCCATCCTCTCTGCAGGGAGGCAAGGGTGGGGGCGTGTGGACTGAAGCAGGGCAGAGGTCGCTGGAGGGCGAGGGCAGCCAAGCCAGGGCCATGAATGAGTCTAACCTCCCTCTCCCCTCCCTCCATCCCCAGGAGAGCATCTCGTCCTCGGGGACCCCGCACAAGCGGGACTCCTTCATCTATAGCACGTGGCTGGAGGACAGTGTCAGCACCACGAGCGGGGGCAGCTCCCCAGGTACCAGGCCAGGAGCAGCTGCCCCTGCCAGGCAGGGCCTTCTCGTGGCAGAAGGGGGATGGGGCTGGGCACAGAGGGGTGAAACCACTTCTCAGGCCCCGGGTCGTTGGTATGTGACACCGGGGACAGTGGGTGGGTCATCATTCAGCCTAAGATGATTGAGTGGCTTGGAGGGCTGGTAGCCTCTGAAAGGGTCTTGGAGGATGGCGGGGAGGTAAAGAAGGGAGTCAGGGTGGGGTTGCCTGGGGGAAGAACCCGGCGGGGTTGGGGAGCACCAGCCAGTGCCGGCTGCCCATCCACGCCCGCCTCCCTGGTGCCTCCCCACGGCCAGTGAGGTGGCTCCCTCCTGCCCCCTTCCCCAGGCCCCTCACGGTCACCCCATCCAGACACTGGCAAGCTGGGGGACCCTGCATGTCCAGAGATCAAGATCCAGCTGGAAGCAGCTGAGCACCACACACCCCAGCTGGTACGTGCCACCTCGGGGGGGGGGGGGACCAGGGATGGGGACTGGACCGCGAGGCCCCCCAGGCCAGGAGGGGTTGGGTTCGTTCGGTCTGGGCACTGTCAGTGACTTCTGCTTGCCTGTGTCTTCTGCCCCTCGTCATCATCTGGCCTGTCCCCTGGCTCGTCGCCATTCTCTGTCTGTGCAGGGCTGTTAGCCAGGCTCCCCTCGGAAGGTGACTGAACAGGTCAGGCCCAGCCCTCAGCTCTTGTTTGGTGGGAAGAGGGTGGGCATGAGCAGGGGGGTGGGCCAACTCCCCCTGTTCCTCTGTCCCTTCTCTGGACTGAGAGCTTTGTATCTGGGTTCAAATCCTCTGCCACTCAGATACTGGGTGGCTTGGACAGGTCATTGGCCCCTCTCTGGGCCTCAGTTTCCTTATCTGCGCAGTGGGGCTTAGTAAGTGCTACCTTATGAGTTGCTGGGAGGGCTCGATGGGAGCCTGAAAGGGACCTGGGAATTGCCAGGACGGAGGGGTCTGGGGAATTCCCAGTGGGAAGCAAAGACCCAGAGCCTGGAGCTCCAAAGGCGGGCCCTGTCTCCCTGCTTCATGGTGTCTCCTTCTCCCTTTATCCTGCAGATGAGGCCGAAGAAGCACAAAGTGAAGATGCTGTGTCAAATCCAGGCCAATGGGACCTCTGCCCCCAAGGCCACCACCAGCCCTTGGGCTGCCCCCTGTCTCCCCACCCCTCCCCTTGGCCCACCAGCTAGGCTGTCTCTGCAGGGCAGAGCCATCCAGACCTGGGAGCGGGGAAGCTGCTGGCATCATCCTTACCCCCCGAGGCCGGGGGGCCAGGCTGGTGCAGGGAGTGGTCAGTTGCAGCAAGACTCCAGGCCTGGCTGGCCCCACCCGGGGCCCTCCATCACACCTTAGTGCCCCTGTAGACTCAGGGGGAGCAAGGTGGGAAAGGGGACCAAGCGATCTCAGATCACACCGAGCCTGCCGGCAGTGGGATGTGAGGTGTGACGGGCACTGGGTTGGGAGTCCTGAGTCCTGGCTTCCAATTTGGGTTCTGCTATGTGACTCTGGGCAAGTCACTCTCCCTCTCTGGGAGCCTCAGCTACAAATGGACAAGATTATTTCAGAGGTCACTGAAGACTGTGATTCTGTGCACCTGCTCCAGAATGGGGGACTGTCCTTCCAGGGGCCTCCCACCACCCCACCTTGCTTCTTAGGGTCCCTGGGGCCCCAGGTGGGCTAAGGGGCAGGGAACTGGCTACACCCATTGCCCCTCCTGGGCCCTCAAGCTCTGCCACAGATCTGCCGATGCCCTGTCCACTGCCTCCACGTGACGGGCAAGTGACCCCTTGCGGGAGGGAGGGGAACCTACCTGGCTCCTCAGCCAGCACCCAGCTTCACCCCTGCCGTCCCATACTCTGGGTACTCAAGGCTGACGGGTCTCTGCTGGCCTAGAGTTACAGGTCTCGCCTTTGTGACCCCCCCGCCCATGGAGGGGGTTGCCAGGCACAGCTGCTGTGAGTCCACATCCTTGTGTGTGTCTGTCCACACTTTTTAGGTGCCACGCCAAAGGCCAGCCTTCCCGCCCCAACACCCATTTGGGAAGCCCCCGTGGCCGTGTGTATGTTGGTAACAGTTGTACAAAATAAATTCTATTTATCGCTATTGTACCCCGAGTTGGACCTGGCTTTGCATGGACCCTGCCCAGATCAACTCCAGATGGGTTTCATTGGTACCAAGGTGCCGGGACGGGGGGCCATCTCCCCAGCTCCCTAGTCAGAGCTGCTGGGTCTGGGGCCCCCTCCAAGGCCAAACCACAAGTCCGAAGCACAAACCATGGCTTCCTCCCCCGGCGCTGCCCTTCCCTCTGCCCCATTCCTTTCTCCACGGGGGAAGAACATGGCTTTGAATCCGGCCGACCCAGGTTTGAGTCCTGGCACCATCTACTAGCTGGGTGGCAGTGGGGAACTTACTAGCTTCTCTGAGCTGCAGTTTCTACTTATATAAAATGGGAGCAACAGGACCAAACCTAAGGGTTTGTTGTGTGCCTGGCACACAGTGGGCGCTCAATGAAGAACCTCCCCCTTCTCATGCTCAGTGAAGCCCAAGATTTCCCCTCTGTGGCCACCAGGGGGCGGCGAGGGATCACTTACTGGAACAGTTGGGGTTGAGTCAGACCTGCTTGGGAGGAGCTCCCAGTGCAGGGCAGTTACAGCGAAGGGGGGATGAGTGACAGGTGGTGTGCAGGAACGGGGGGCCCAGCCTCAGTGAGGTGAGGGGGGCATGGGGAAGACCAGAGCAGTGGTGCCCCGGCATTTCGGAAAGTGTCCTGGGGGAGGGGACTGCAGATGCAAAGATACGAAGGGGAATTGGGAAGGTGGCAGACTGTTCTGAGTGATGGGGTGGTGATGACTTGAGGGGACAGGGAGACAGAGATGAGGCTAGAGGCCACACGGCCTTGAATGCCAGACCAGGGGGCTAGGGTGGAACGCTGAGGGCAACAGGGAGGCCTGGGGGGTTTAAAGCAGGGAGTGCCGTAACCAGGGGGCTGCGTGGAGGCTGGTGGGGCAGTGTCAGGGCAGGGAGCGGGGTCCAGGAGGCTGTCGTTGGCGACAGAGGGTGGCCAGGAGGCCCCTGGAAGGTGTTAGGAGGTCTGACCCTCTGGATGAAGGGCCTGTGGGATGTGGGGCTGAGGGAGGTGTCCAGGAGGCGCTCAAGGGCCCAGCCTGGGTGTTGGGTGAACGGGGCCAGCCCTCGGAGGCTGGAGCCCAGGAAGGGGAGCAGGCTGGGGTGAGCTGGAGGACGCCGGGCTTGGCGGTAGGCGAAGAGTCGGGTTCCGGTGGGATCAACCCTGGCCTTCCTGACAGCTTTGCCGCCGCCCTACCCCCTGCCCGCCGCCAGCCCCCACTCCGCCCCCAGGACGGTGCTGAGGGAGACAATGCTGAGGGCAACGATGCTGCCATGAATTTCCTGACAGGGACCTTCTCTGACCTTCAGATGTCTGGGGCCACCCAGGGACTATGACTCACACCTAAAGCCCAGCCCCACCCAGCTGAGCTGGGCTCTAGGCTGCCCTGGGCTCAGTGAGTGCCCCCCTAACCCCGGTGCCCTCCCCTGCTCACCCTTGCCCCTCTTCTCAAGCCCTCACGCGCCTTCCTGGGTTCTGGCTCCTCAGAGCTCTTGGCCTTAGCCCCTCGTCTCTTCCCTCCCATCCCACCTCAAAGGGCCGGCAGCCATAGCTCAGCACCAAGGTCAAGAGCTCGGCTCCTAGGTCATTCACCTCCTAGCTCTGCTCCTTTTTGCTCTGGGCCTCAGTTTCCTCATCTGTACAGTGGGAATGCTAACAGTCCTGACCTTGGTACTGTGGTGTGAGGATTCAGTGAGGTGACACTTCATAAAGCTCCTGGTGCAGCCCTGGCCCATGGTGGGCTCCAAAGGTAGCATGGGGGGGGGGGCGGGGTTGGTGGTGGTGATGAGCCATGAGTGAGAACCACGTCCATAACCCACAGCAGAGGGTGCGGGGCTAGAGCTCAGCGTGGAGGACGGAGCGCCTGGTGCCGGCCGGGCACAGACAACCGGCCTGAGAGTTTGGGGCTCGATGATTGTCAGTTGCTTCCCTGAGCCTCAGCTTCCCGATTTTACGGGGAGAGGCTGTGAATGATGCTTCTGTAAAAGAGCGCGTGCACCTCCACGTGTATCCCATTACTTTACTCTGTGCCACACCCCACGGCTCTGACCCACAGCTGAACTGGAGCTCTGGGGTCTGTGGTGGCGGAAGCAGGGGCAGCTTGGTGAGCAGAACCTGCCTTTGGCCTCCTTCGTGCCAGTCCCTGCCTGCAGGCCTCCGGGCTGGGCGTAGCCCGGGTCCCCACCCCTCCTCCAGGCTCCAAGGTGGGGCTGGGGGAGGCTGAGGACGAGCCCGGCCTCTGGGATCAAAGTGTCCGGGGCTGTTTCTCTTGTGCCCAGGCCAGCTCCGTGCTCACCCTGGTTCTGAGGTGGGGAGGGCGAGTCAGGACACTGCTCTGAGGCTGGAATTAGGGCTTGGGCGGGGGGCACCGGGTTCCGGGAAGTGCTGGACTCTGCTTAGAAATAACTCTGGTGGTGGAAACGGCAGCCAGAGGTCTCTCCAGACGCAGGAGGCAAGAGGCCTCCCGTGGAGGGACACGGGAGCTTGGCTAACCTGGCATCCCCGTCCCCTTGCCTTAGAGCTGGAACCTGTGCCTCTGGGTCCCAGTTTCCTTGCCTATAAAATGGGGCAGAGACCTACCTATTGCTGGCAAGAGGCTGTCACGGCCTCTAAAGCACCTGGCATGGAACCCATGCCCAGTAGGAGGGGTCCTCCCCTGTCCCCCCGCAGCTGGGTTGTCCCTGGACACCCATGGCCAACCCTGGGGCCACATTGCCAAAGAGACAGCCACAGGCACAGGCCCGCCCTGTGCCAGAGGACTGGGACCTGGACATTCTCTGCCACTCAGGCCACAGGGGTGCTTAACTAGGGACCCTGGAATGTGGAGGTCCCTCCCTGCACCCGCCCTGCCGAGGGGACAGCCAGGGACGGAGCCTCCTGAAATAACCAGATCTGGTTAGCAAAGCTAATTTTAAAAGCCACTCTGGCTTCCCATGGGCCCTTCTGGGAAGCCATGAATGTCCTTGTGTTTGTCCCTGGGAGGCAGGGCAAGGGGAGAGCAGCCGGGCCTGGGGAGGGCGCCCACCCCGGCCGCAAGTGCAGGAGACCCCGAGCTGCCTCGCAGGGCCCAGAGCCCCAGCGCCCAGAGCCCCAGCGCCCAGCCTCGGCGCCCGTCCACCTCGGAGCAAACCCTGCTGGGCTCCTTAAGCTCTGTCTCCCACTGTCCTCATCTGCTCACTCCCTGTGTCCCTTTACCTCGGTGTCGCTGCCTCTCTCAGTCTCGGACACACCCTGTCCCTCTCTGTAGCTGAGGCTCTGTCCCCCTCTCTCGGGGTCCATCACGCAGGAGGCCCACAGCATTCCTGGCGGCCCACAAGCTGGGCTGTGCAAGCCAGGTAGGGGTGGACGCCCCCTTGGGAGCTGGGGTTGCAGGCAGGGCAAGAGTGGGAGGACTGCAGTTCTGGGGGCCAACAGGAGCTACAGCTGGGCAGGCAGGGGCCCTGCCCAGGCACGACCTGGGCCATCTGGTCAGGCCAGGTGACAGAAGAAGGAATGAACCCCTGGGTCAGGTTGCCCGATTTAGCAAGTAGAAACACATGGAGCCCAGTTAGGCTTGAATTTCAGATAAACAAGGAATAATTTTTCGTTTAAGTATACCTCATGTAATATTTGGGACATACTTAAACTAAAAATTATTCCTTGTTTATCTGAAATCCAGGTTTCACGGGGCACCCTATATTTTATCTGGCAGCCGTGTCCAGGCAAGCTCTGGAGTGAGCAGAGAGGCGGGTCAGGGAACATCAGGTTTTCTAGACGCTGGGGCCTCGGCCTGGTGGGGCTGTCGCAGCCACGCCTGGGGCACCGGTCTGACAGGGGAGGCCCAGGGAGCGTTCAGCTTTCTGGCCTTGGGGATAGTCCCTGGGAGCAGCGACACCCAGACCCAGTCACCTCCTCAGTGGAACCATAGACTTTAGGAGGGAGGGTCCCTGTGTGTCCTCTGCTGAGCCTCAGTGCCTCGCCCAGGGTCTGGCACATAGTAGGGACTTCATAAATATTTGTTGAATGAATGAAGAACCTCCCGACCCCTCCCTACAGTGGTGGGGGGACACATGGCCAGCAGGGGGCTCCAGCACCCCACCTCCCAAGCTCCTTGGAACCTAGAGGATTGTGCCCTGCCTCCGCCCCTGGGGCTCCCCAAAGTGACCTCTGGGGAGGGGTGTGGGGGGAGAGGCAGAAGAGATGAAGGGAGGAGGCCAGCTTCTTCCCTATCCCACCCCTAACCTGGACTGCAATGCCAGCTAGGAGCTCTGCCTGGGCAAGGGTGCAGGGGAGGGTGGGGACTGGGGCAGGGTGGCCTCTGGCTTCTGGGAGACTGGTTAGAACTGGGGGGCAGGCCAGGATGTGTTCTCAGTGCTCCTTGGGCGGGGGAGGCATTTGGACAACCAGAGGGATTCCTGGGGCCTGGAAATTTGGGTCCCCTTGTTTGGCGGGGAGGTAAGATGGGCCTTTTCCTAAGGGCCATCCTTCTCCTCGGCCACCCTGAGGGGGCAACTAAGTAGATGCGTGTGGCCCTCCCAGACCTCCCCAAAGGCAGAGTCCCTTCAACAGACTTTTACTTCATTCGTCCGTTCACTCACTCATTTATTCACTCACTCGCCCACTCCCCCACTCACTGCCAGCCCTCCCTGAGACGACCCGCGCTGGACCTGTGCCAGGGCCCTCGGCCGCTCCTCTAGTCCCCACAGGAAGACACTTGTTCCGGCGTCGGCACTGCCACTGGCTCCCTGCTTGTCCTTGGGCCCTGACCACTTAGAACCTCAGTTTCCCCTTTTCCACGGGGGGCGGACACAGGCAGCTCCCTGGCCAGTACCGTGAGAAGGTGAGCTGATGCCCGCCCCGCCCCCACCCCCCCGCAACGAGGAGTGCTTCTGAGACAGGGGGGGCGGGGGGGAACCGTCAGAACTATCACTAATATTAGTATCAGTATCCTTCCAAGG